AATCGTTTGACTGCTTCATCGTAAGCTTCTTTGGATTTCTCCAATCTCGCGAGCAAATCCACTATCATCTTCTGACCATTCTCATTAGACTTACGAAGTCCATCACAGATTTCTTCTAACTCTGTACATCGTCCGGATTCCTTCGCTAGATTCAGCTGCAACACTTCACACTTAGTTTCCTTCTCCCGAAGCTGGGCTTCTCGCTCCTGCAATGTCGCCTTCACTGTTGCGCACTCGGTCGCCAAGGTTGCAGCTCGCTCCCGTGCCAATTCAGTCGCGGAATCCCACTCCCTCTTTACTCCAACTGCTCTCTTGAGCTTCATCCTGTTCCTGATCAACTGTACATAGAATCCTGGCTCCTTCGATATAGCATACTTCTCTCTCTTCCCATCCAAATACTTCAACAATGGAACTACACTATAATGGAAGAAATCAGGAAATGTAACTTCCAATATCTTCACGTCTTCGCCGAAGACTTCTTCTCTTCTTCGGGTTTCACCTCTTCAACAAGAGATGTCGGCAGTGTAATACCATCGGTCTTTACCACCGTTCCTCCAATTCGTGCCACGACCTGCTCCAGAATCTCATCACTCAGAGTGAACTCCTTCACCAGGTTCTTTTTCATCTTCAGTTGTGGTGTTTCTTCACCCCGCGCAGACCGTGTCTTCTCGGAAGATAGAGAAATCGGACTTACCAACTCCATTCCCTCCTTCAAAAGTTCTACCGGCATATCTGCTGGAACTTCAATTAACACCCCCGAAGATCCTCCCATCTCCATAGGCCGCGTCGACTCGCCAATTGCGACTTTGGATGTGTTCACAATTGATGCCACTGTCTTCTCTACACTGCTATCCAACACTTCAGCTGTCACCATCCTCCGATTCGCCCTCTTCTTTGGTCTTGCGCAAGATCTCGGCTGCCTAACTCCATCGAATTCCATCTCCACCCTTCTCACTTCGTGGGCCAATTCTTACTCATCATCACTCACTACCTTCTTTCTCTTCGCCAATCGTCTATCTGGCTTCTCCCGAATCTGCACCACGTCCACTTGAACTGGTCCCCGAGCTATCGTATGTGTTGATATTGAGGGTGGTTGGTTATCGTCTTCCGTCCCTTTACTGGACTCGGTTGTCAAGATTTCACTTTCCCTCGGAAATCGCTTCTCCTCCTCCCTCGTAAGCAACCCCATTCCTCGATAAAAATTCACTAGAAAGGGAGTGATGTGATTAGTCAAAGGTCCCAACCATCGGGAGTCCGCATTCACCCAGACAAGATCATGAAAGATCCTTGCCCAATGTACTCTTCTTCCCTTCAAGATGCGTTCGAAGAACCCTACTTGCCAGGTCGTTACATACGTCGTGCACGCCGGCCACAAGATGTGCATAATTTCCAAAGCGATCGCCCTTCTCTTCTGATCTTTATAATTGACAGTCTTCCATCCGTTAGTTCCCTGTCTCCCAGACTCGAAGAGAGCCTCGTAAGAAAATTCCTCAACGCGTGTAAGTCCTACGCTATTCTTCTCAAATAGAAGATCTCCGTCGCTGCCCGCACACGGTCCCATCACCTACGTCCAATGCTCAATGGTCCACAGCATGGGATTGCCGCGAAGCTCCTCGCCTTCAGTCGTGCTCATGTCCATTACCTCCTTGCAGATACTAGCCGAGACGCAATTCCAATTCCACAAAAAGAATTCAAGCCGCAATTCACTCAGCTCGCGTCTGAAGGGTCGCAATTCCTCGTAAGTCACCTTCAAGGGAACCAATTTCCTCACCATCTCACTCTTCTTAGGCGCCATATCTTCAATTTGCGTTTCGCTACTTGCAAGCTTGGTCGATTTTGCTTCCTCTCACTCTCGCTCGTTCTTGCTCGATATCGCAATGTTGGCGCGAAGGCTCTTCATCTGCATTTACCCTAACATTGTCTCCTCCCGCGCCCAGTAGAACTCCTGACGCGTGCGAACGTCGTCCGGCCCGTTGCACGATTTGAAATTGATTCCGATGTCTTCGCCGAAGACGTAGCTCTTCGTATGTCCAGAAAAGGCTACGCCGAAGAACCGAAGATCTTCGGCCGTATGCAAATTCTAGCTAATCTGATCATAACTACTCAAAATCTACTCACACGACTACTTCCTACACAAATATCTTTTACTTTTGTTAAGTTTTAGAGAAAAACGAAAAAGATAGGCATCACATCATCATCAACCCGCGACTCGCCTTCTTCTTCGACCTAGCTCGAGTTCTTGACTGCCAAATTTCTACTATCTCCGTTTCTGCCAGTCGTGATTCTAGCAGGAGGTACTCTTCGTCATCAGTTACTACCTTCCGTCTCTTCGCCAATCGCCGTTTGGGTCTTTCTCGCGTTGGCAGAACATCCACCTACACAGGTCCTCGCGCTATTGTCTAAGGTGGTATCCTAGTTCGATTGTTATCCTCTTCCTCGGTCCCTTCACTGGACTCGAATGCTAGTACTTCCCGTTCCTTTGGAATTTGCTTTTCCTCCTCCTTCGTGAGTAACCTCATCCCTCGATAGAAGTTCACGAGATAAGGAGTCAAGTGATTCGCCAATGGTCCTGCCCATCGGACGCTCGCATTAACCGAGACCAGATCGTAAAAGATCCTCGCCAAGTGCACCCGATTTCCTTTCATAACCCGCTCAAAGCATCCAACCTGTCAAGCCGTGACATAGGTCGTTTGTTGCGGTCGTAGGATATGCATAATGCCCAACACAATCGTGCGACTCTTCGGATCCTTGTAGTCGGCGGTCTTCCATCCATTCGTCCCTGATCTTCCATTCTTGAAAAGTGGACCGAAGGTGAATTCTTTCGCGTGGGTTATCTTCACGCTTTCCTTTTCAAACATGAGATCTCCGTCGTTGCCTGCACACGGCCCCATCACGCTCGCCCAATGCTCAATCGTCCACAGCATTGGATTGCCTCGGAGGTCCTCACCATTGTTCTGGTTCTTGTCCATGACCTCCTTGCATATGCTCGCCGATATGCAATTCCAATTCCATAGGAGGAAATCAAGGTACAATTTGCTAAGCTCGCGCCTATAGGGTCGCAATTCTTCGTAAGGCACCTTCAACAGGACCAATTTCCGCACCTTGTCATTCGTCTTAGGCGGCGCCATATCTGCAATGCGCGTCTTCACTGCTAGCAATGTTGATCAATTTCTCTCTCTCTCTCTTTCTTGTTCGTTCCCGCTCAGTATCGCAAAGTCGGCGCGAATGCTTCTTGCACTGCCCTTACTCTCGATGCCCTAGCGTTCTTCTCACGCGCGCGAATTGGTGTCCTCGGCGCATATGAACGTTGTCCGGTTCTTGGCGAATTCAAATTGATCGTCGGGTCTTCGCCGAATACCCGGCTATTGCATCCTTTAGAAAGACTGCGCCGAAGGTCTGAAGATCTGAAGATCTTCGGTCGAAGTAAATTTCTAACTAAAAATCTCTTAAGTCTTCTACTTCTATCACTTCTTACTAATATGTTTACATTCTACACAAATATGTTTAAGTTTTTGCTAATTTTTGAAGAAAAACAAAAAACTAGGCACCACAAACGGTTATCGATGATCTCGTTATAATTGCCCACATGTTTTAAAACTATAAGTTGTAGATATACTTGAAAGATGTACACTTCTTGTTCCTACATTCACTTCGGTTCAATGTCGCTTAAGTTATGTGGTTTTTTTCTCAACATCATATTAAGTTCCATGGTACTCAACTTACCCTTTACATGTCTTTTTCAAAACATGTAGTCTTCGCGTCTATCAAACCTCATGATTTCATAACCAGATACTCCTGCCTGTTATGTAGCCATCTTTGTCAAAAAAACTAAAATTTCTGCCACTTTTCTACTTTCTGCTCATTCATTATCTTACTCAAGGTTCACCAATGTCTTAATTACGTCAGCTTTCCTATGATACTCAATTTGCTTATATTCGGAATAAGATTTTGTTGACGAAAATATTTTTTCCAGATGGAAAATATTATAACAGATTATTTTTGAATCTGCCTTGAGTTATCCGCTGTTGCCTGGACTGCCCAATGTCTCGATGTGATGTATCAAGATATTTTGTTATTGAACTTTTATACTTCTTTTTCTAGACATTTATTCTCCTTGTTGTTCGATTGTCACGAGCAAAAATCCTCAAATCGTTCAATCAATCATTCTTTTTCAATTGCAATACAGATAGATTTTGCTACATATTGTGTCGTCAATTGTTTCAAGGATTCAATTTTCTCAAATTTTTGATGATCTATCAGCGAACAACAACGAGCTCTTTGGAGATTGCAAAGTAAGTTATTTTATGATAACTTGATAATTTTCTTGATAAATATGGCTCAATATATAAAAAGTTGAACCAAAGAGTGATTGACTAATTCACTCGCTCGAATGTCTATTGAGATAAGATCGCATCATCTTCATCTTAATTGCTCACACTTTGTAACAACTTGTGATATTGTAGTATACAATTGACTATGCTAACATCATCTTCGTCTTAATTACTGACGCTTTGTAAGAGGTTGTGATATTCTAATACATAATTGACAATGCTCACATTATGAGTATGATCATCGTCATTAATATCAAGAGCGTTCATTTCAATTGAATCTTTAGAATTTTATTCAATAGTTAACTCGTCAAGATCTAAGTAAGTTTATAAAGAATCTAGTCAAGTTTATAGCAAAGTTTTCTTCAAGTCATCGAGAACTTGACTTTAACAAGTGATATTGTTTGATATTTTGATTAAAAATCTCTGTAGAAACAATATTTGGACAAAACACACTCCAATAGTATTCTACTGAAAATGTTGATGTCGCATGTTGTTAGGATGTGTATAATCATAAATTAGGAATTTGATTAGAAAGTATCTTGGAAATAATTGGATTTGACAAAACATTATTAAATAGTATTTTTTTTAATATCATCTGATGCTGATTTAACTCAGCCAAGCACAGTAGTTAAACGCGTTTACTGTTATCAAAATTGAAAAAAGTTTGATCTTTGAAAAACACTTTGATCTACAGTTTGTTGGTCATGACTGAAAACCGTCGGTAACTACACACAGTTTCCAAAAGACACTTCACTACTGTAACATCCATGTATTCGACTGTATCAAGAGAGAGCATTCGCATTCAGTTTCAACAGCTGAAAAGATTTGTCGATTTCGATTTCAGTTCGTCAGGAAATATGTGAACCAGGAGGCCTCACAAAACCGAGGATCTTTCTGATATCTACTACCTACAATGCAGGGATTTTCACACATACAAATCTTCAGCAAGGACCTCTGAACCAATTTCCGGCCACCAAGATGTTATTTGAAAATACTAATTTCTATGATGCCCTTTTTCCTACTACTACAGACTTCAGTGATGGAGACGACATATACATATATTTTTGTATATTATTACTATACTAATTTTCACATCTTTCCCGTGTCCCTCAACGTCTGTTGAGGGAAAGTCGGGCTTCATATGAGAAGTATGTACATTAGGCAGTTACAATTAAACTCATGTGGCCAGCTCACCTTAGGGCGGCTGACCAGGAGATCCCCGGATTTTAATTTGAGGGGACCACCAGTCCGGGAGTCCGATGGAAATATCTGGATTGATTCATTGTGTTTAAAATTGGAAACTTTGAAGCTTATTTTGATAATTGTAGAATCATTTGACTACAAGAGATAGTGTTCGCCAAGTGCCCGAGAAATGCGAATATACAGCTCGGTGAAGTGCTCGTTGAAGTGTCAAATATAGTACAACGCCAAGACTTCTCGATGGTGTCGACACTTGCAGCATAGGCCACTGGAGCACCTGTTGTCAGCTGATATCACTTTCAGAGAGGAAACGTACCGGTCATCTTCATGTGCTCAAGAGTCTGTGGAAGACCATAACGTCCAACAGCAATCTGGCCCGCCCTGAAACCCCCTCCGTATACTGGAGATGGATCATGTGCGATCTGGTGCCTAAAAAACTCCCCAAGTCGAAGCTGGTCGACCTGGTTTCCCCTCTTCAGGTCATCTGAAGTGGAAGAACTAGAAAAGCCTGTTTGAGAAAGCAGCCACATATGCGCCATGACTTGACAGATGCCCTCTTCAACCTCACTTGCAAGGGTCGGGAAACGTCCTGCAGCCGTTTAAGAGTGATGAATTTGAGGATCAACGTCTGAACGATCATCCAAGAGCTCCGTGGATTTCTAAAGTTAACCAAAATCTGAACTAATTCAGACAGTGGAGACTATAATGTCTTCGCAAGTACAGAATGGTCAAAGATGGCCAAGGTGAAGAGAAGGGGACGTTACCATCCAGCCGCAACCATGCATGCATCAACTCATGTGCGAGAATTGAACCCGTGAGCAACCTGACAAAACAATAATGTAATACTGTCAGACTCACGAAAAACGAGGTTATCCAACATGTCTGCCTGCCGAAGTGATGAAAGGGTGGAAGTAAATCTAAAACAAGACAAGTAATCGAAGATAAGTCAGGAGACCCTTCAGAGATCTACATATGCCTGCAGCTGATAGATAAATGAGGAGGTTGCATAGAAGGAAGGTATGCACAACATGGTCTACCAAATCTTGTTTTCATTCACCCAAACGATTCTTCAGCATTCACAGCTTAGGAGAATATCTCAGGGTCTGTTCCACACGCATCTGAAGCATTTTCTATTTTGATCTATATGATTATGTACATGGCTTAGAATTTCCACGAATTTCGCTCTTGGTTTCAGCGGTGGCATTTTGCACAGGTTTCTGAGAATCTGCTCACTTCCAGAATTGAGCTAGATCTCATGACGAAGTCTTCTAGTAAAAGATGTTGGAAAAGTCACACAGGATCGCATGGACATATAGAATTGCAACGATCTAAACGTCGAAATTCCTCTACAAACTACGCCTGCGTTAAAGATTGCACAGCCAAGAAATATAACGTTAAGATGAGAATGTATTTACCGGGGAAGGCCGTAGAGAACAAGAATCGCGGTGACTTCACAATGTCGCACCAATTTCTGCGATTCTGTTCGCACCATAAAAGGTTTGGACCCTCTAACTTTAGATGGCTTTCTGTAAACCTGCAGAGAATCAAGTTTGAAGCCAACCTTCAGATACTCGATCGGAAGACACTCAGTGGCCTTACTTTTTAAGTTACAAGTTTACCCTCGGTAAGACAGGGCCAGCTAGAATCCAGGGGCCTGTAAGCTTAATTGTCAAAACGTACACCCAGTGTGACATCTAACGATTCAGTTGTAACTGGAGATGCACATCACGTATCCTTGCAACCCTACCACATGTAATAAGCTCACTGATGACGGGTATTTCTAGGAAAATATCATAATCCTCTCAGGAGAAATCTCCTAGAATTATGTATCCTGGAGATTAAAGAAGAGGCGATTTATAATTCACTTACTATAACATGTTCGACATCATTCCATGTCATGATATGTCTATCATGAACTGTTTTTCAAATGAATGCGACATAAGAATCTGGTGCAGAACTGGTAGTTATCATCACTATAGGTCAACATCCAAAAAAGACAGGTTGGGTCAAGCACATACAGAGGTGATAATCTGCTCTTCAGATAGACACAAGCCTCTTGTTTCAGGAGTATGACGATGTCCCTGCAAAATGGGTGACACGACGTAGCTCAGTGGCTTCGAAGGTATCCATGGGTTAGAAATCATTCGTTTGATATTGAGCCATTACATGCCTCCGCAATGGTACTTGGTACTTAAAACAAAATTGCAGTTTTGAAATGGGAAATGAGCTGTAATACAAACTCAAGAATGTTCACCATACGTACATCTCTTTCGCCTTCTCTGGCAGCGTTTAGGGCCTGTCTTTCCACCAAAAGCATTGGAATCTCCTGCTCAATGTTCATGCCCAGGTGTTTGTAAAACTTTAAAACATTGTAGTACAAGGGCTGGCATTCCTTCGTATCCATTATTACCGAGTCCAGGCATTCCAAACAGAGTTTGCGCCCATCATCTAAGTCGACGTAGGTCTGGTCCCGAGGCTGCAAATAGCCACCGTATATCACTTCAGAAGTAAGAATTTTCCATTAAAAAACCGGAATTCTAATTGTCCAATCTGTACCTTCCAAGTGTGTCACACAGGAATAGAGAGCCCAAATAAAAGACATCTGAAACAGACATGTAACGTGACGCTCACCTGTATACGATCACAGCTACCGCAGCGTGGAGTCCTGTCCGTTTCGTGGGAAGGACAGTACTTAAGTTGCCAAAAGGGATGTGATCTGTATTCTATCAGGCCGGCACGATTTGTTGGAATCTGCAACGGTGAAAGTCACAATAGATCTCAGCTTGCGAATGACACATTGCCAAGAGAGAACAACGTGCTTGACATCTACATAAGCTACAATGAGGCAGATTAGGCAGTGTTTAGGAACTTACAAAATTATGACACACTTCACATTTCGGATGGAACAGCTCCTTGTAACACCGCTTGTGATAAGGTTCTTCTCCTTGGACAGAGAACTGGAAGGGCAAGAAGAACAACACTAACCAGATTAGCTGCTGTTTGCTGTTGTATGACTTGCCTATCTCGGCACATTCGATAATCGGCGTGGTTTCATAATACAAGTCACACGTTCTGCTCCGATAAAGAAAAAGCTTTGGAATACGGCAGGAAAACAGACACCAAATCAGTCATAACTAAAAAAACACAGAATCTGTTTAGACGTGCTATAAGTATTTAGACGGAGAAACGTAATTGCCAACGGTTTGCGCGAGTCACTTGAATTACTTGGTAAGCTGAAATCAGTCTCTCTTATCCCGGAAGAGCACAAGGTCTGACCTCATGATCAGTAATAGGTTCGTCACAGGCTGTGCATCGAAAACAGCGAGGGTGCCACTGAGCGTCCATGCAGCTGAGGAACCGTCCTGTTCCCAAAGGCCGATTACATCCTGCACACATAGGCTGCGACCTGTCCACAGCCACATACAAGCACTCAGGAGCATGTCAACGATCAGCACTGAAGATGATAAGTCCATACTTACAAAGGTCTTCCTCACTCTACTATGCAGGTCTCCATAATGAATAAAGAAAGTTTAAAAACTGTGAGCCGAAGAATAGCCGTTTGAAGTGATGAAAAAATACGAATAGATAGTGACTAGGTCTAACCTTTGCGGTGGGGTTTCTTGAGGGGCCGAAGAAGCTGGACCGTCAAAAAATGGACCGAAGAAATCAAAAGCTTCTCTTGGTCTGTTGTCCAAATCCAGACTTGCTTGCAAAGCTCTCGCTAGCTCCTCATCGGACTGTGTTTGGGAGTTCTCTCCTTCTGTATACGGTCCAGGTCAATTCAGGTATATTAGCTCAAAAGTTATGCTTTGAGTAAAACCTGACACCTGATATCACATTGTCATCGTGCGTATAGTAAAGGTGATTAACCCTTCTTTGTTATCGGATATTCAGGAAAAAACCTGATGTTGGTTCTCATCAGGACAGAATGCAACTCCTGTTCATCTTGAGGTAAGCATATCTCGTTCGTAATTTCCTTCATTCATGGTCTGAAATCAAAATTCGGTCTGAGTTTCACAGTCGACGCAATAGTATTATCGTCTTCACTCTTTACGAACTACATGCCCTCCCACTGAACGTTCTCATATCGTCGTGGCCACCTAAATGCACGGGAACATCCTCCTCCACTGTATCTTAATATTTCGATTAAACGTACGCGAGCTGTACGTTCGAAACGTTGACTCAGCCGTCAGTAATGAACATCCTCCGCAAGCAAGTACGACGTATCAAGCTCGATCCACATACATCAGTTCCATTGGTTCAAATTCAGTACTGTACTGGGTCTTGTGACTTTAGGGTACATTTTGTCATAATACGTTGGGACTTGAAGTGAAAAAACTCATGCTTGACTTGCAAAACAATCAGAAGACTAAAACCTCGGATGGAAATCAGACCTGTTGACTTGTGCTTTAACTCTTCTTCCGTGAGAGAAAGCGCAATTGCTCTGTCTAGTTCCTCGGTCGCTCTGGATGAACTCCCGTAATAATCATCGTTTCGTTTGGGGTCCTGAACATGTGCAACGCACACATTTCAGTATCTCCAGAAGCTCCGGCGGTCCCTCTCAAACCTTTGGTCAAAGAATTAACGAGAGCTTGGTGAAGGAGAAGTTCAGACAGCATGGAATCACCTCCCACCAAAGTAGCTAACAGGCTATAACAAGTTGGCAGGACACCAAATTCGAGAAATCGGACGACATTCGAATTCGAAACGATTTTATAGCAGTCTTCAGTTTCAGCACTGCAGGACAGCAGCCTCGCGTGTCTTGACTCACTTCGAACAAATTCGGTAAGCGATACGGCTCGTTGTCATTGCCACCGTCGTATCTCCGATGAGGGTCTTCGGAAGCCCCGAAAAGACCTTTGAACCACTTCATCTTGGACATCTTGAGTCCTTGGATTCAATCAGAAGACGTCTGCTGCAACAAAAAGCCCGCAAATCTCGTTAAAACGAAGCTACCAGCAGGGAGCCACGTCCAAAAGTACGTACTCCTTGTGAAATGTCAACGGAGTCAGTAAGATTAAGACTCCTGTGCAAGTAACTGGTGTTCTCTGGTGGCTTTGACGAAAGATGCTCAGCTGCCCTCAACCTCGATGTTCTAAAACATGGAAGGCGAAATTGTCGGCAAGGCTCAGAAAGAGAGTATCCTTACCGGGTGAATAGACAGGGAGGCAACAGTCGAAGCCAAATAAATTCCCCAATTTTGGATGGCGCGGCTGATTTTGTGGAATTGGTCAAAAGATTCTCAACGCAAGGGCATTCTGCACAGCGGGTCTCAATCTAGTCGGGAGAGTTGTTTAGGCAAAATTCGTACAATTTAATCCTTCTCTCTTATGCATCGCACAGCTTAATCCTGCTTCTGCATCTCAAATCCACCGGAGATCATCTCCAACGAGTTCATTCGCAGGAGTGCGGAGATCGAATTGAACCAGCGAATGCCGCGCTTACCAATCTACCCTTCGACAGAGGAAGCAGCTAGATCTCTGCTTCGCGGGCACCATCACTCACGAGCAGATCGGAGAAAAAGCATACAAGGGGAAAATTGAAAGCCTCAAGCAGACGGCAAACGCTCGGGAAACGTACGCCGGCAAAAGGCAAGTCAATGATCGCCCGAGAAGAGAAGAGACGAGACGAGGAGAGAAGAAAAAGGGGCGAGCTGCGTGCGCAGGAACGAGGGCTCTCGGAGAGACGAGGAGACAAAACGAAACACGAGGCGTCGCCGAGTAGTTGCAATCTAGAGCATCAAGATCCTCGAGTAATGACAGACGCCTCTACCCAACCCAGCCCGCACCGAGCCAGCCCACGGAGTGCCAGAGCAGAGCAGAGACCCTGCACTGCACAGCACAGCACTCCACAGAGAAGTGCAACGACCGACCGACCGACCGCCCCACGGTCACCCACCGCGACTAAGCACTAGCGTTCGGAGCGAGGCGTGATTCCCTCGCTCGCTCGCTCCCTCCCTCCCAAGCATCCGTGGAAACAGAGCAGCAGCTGCACACACACACACACACAAGCACAGACACAGAGACGATACTGGCACTGGTCTTCCGTCTCGGGGAAAAAGTACAGCCACAGTCGTCGGCCGGACTAAGAGCAGAGCAGAGCACGGCAGACGAGAACAGAGAAACAGCCACGGGCGCAGGTGGAGGTGGCGAGGCCCCCCTCCCTCCTCCAGAGGTCGACGGAATCGTCGAGAGTCCGGGCTCCCCGACAAGGAAAGGGAAGGGAAGGGGCGAAGAAGACGGAGGGCGAAGGCAATCGAGCGATCGGGGAGGAAAAGGAAGGGAAGCGAAGGCTACAGGGCGCGCGGGCCAGGCAGGCAGGCGAGTCAATCAATGGCGCGCCTCCGCCTCTGGCTGTGCATGGCTCGCACTCACGCTCACGCTCCCGCTCCCGCTCGGTTCCCGCTAGCTTGCGGCCCTGCTTGCCTCGGGCGCCATGCTAGGCCTAGCGCAGAGCAGCGCGTCAATAAAGTGGCCGCGCTGAGTCTGCGTCGGGCAAAAGGCACATCCCCCGCCCGAGATAAGTGACGTGCGACTCACAGCAGCTCCTGCACCAGCAGCAGCAGCAGTTGCAGCAGCAGAGGGAGAGGGAGAGGGTCGAGAAGCATCTGAAGCTCCCTCCGAGGGACTAGTGGGGAGGGGGAGGAAGGGGGAGGAGGGGGAGCTCAGTGAGTCAGTCAGGCAGCGGGAGTAGTAGGATCGGCGGGATGGCGTCGTAGGGAGAATGGGAGGACAGACCTGCCGAGGGCCGGACCCGACTGGACTCGAGTCCACTGCGATCCAATGCAATTCGTCTCCTCCGTCGCAAGCCCCGATGTAGGCAGAGGCACGAAGAAGGCCGGCCTCGTTCGACTCTTGATCACAAGCCTTTTGCTCGAAGCTGCCGCATGCATGCACTTACCGAGGAAGCGGGAGACAAGCGGAAGATTTATGCACTCACCGGAGGACGGATTCGAGCGGAGGAATCGCAGGGGGAGGGGAGGGGAGGGGAGGGGTGGAGAGGAGAGATGGGAGGGTAGGATTAGACAACGGGGGACGGAAGATGGGCGAGTGAGGGCTGGAGAATTGGACAAAATCGTCGCAAAGGACAATTGGGGCCAGCGGGGTTTATTATACTGTCATAAATTAGCTCGTCCCGTCCCGTCCCTTTGCGCTATCTATCTGCAGTCTGCGCAGCAAAATTCTGCTCACGTGCACCACTGAGAACAGAAAGCCGCACGCTGGTGGGCCCCCGCATGGCCGACCAATGAATGACATCCGCAGCGCGATGAATCAATCCGCAACGCTCTCTCTGCGCTGCATCATTGATCCCGGCCGACGAATTAAACAACACATACGACCAAACCCGAGTCCATCATATGTTGCTCTCCCACCCTCTCCACCTTCGTCCCTCTTTACTCTCCAACTCCTCGCTCGAAACTCCCCGACGTCAATTTGGACTCGGTCTCCTTTGTTCTTGATCACCACCTAAATCTGGACCTTCTAATCGGACTTGTCAATGCAACCTCTAACCTTTACAGCTTCACAGCATATCTGATCACAGCGAGAAAAACGGTTCTTCGATGTCAATCTTTCCCTTAATATTCCTCTCCCCACTACTGTTCAGTCGTTGTTCCTCTGCTCAGCATTTTATTCAACAAACTAATAGATCGGTCAACTACTGTACTGATGGAACGAGATTACTGACAGCTGATCAAATCTGATGATTACATATTCATGTTCTAAGACCCAGAACACCAGTAGTCCGTGTATTCATACGATGGACGGTATATAAGGAAACGTAATAATACGTACGAAATTGGCATCTTCTACTCTACGCCTCCCTTAGACTCCATGCTGCCAATGCTAGTTCATGTGAAATGGACATATTCCGCTACATTCTGTTCACCCATAGCCATCCTTTAGGCTGGACACTGTATCAGAACATTCTCTCCCTTTCAGACATCATACTCTTCACATGAATGTTGATGATACCAGATACGCAGTCGTTGCGCAGTCCTCGCACTTTGTGGTTCGGTCGAAGTAGAAACGAAGTGTATTGGTAGAAGAGACCACGTACCAAATTCCTCAAGCTGGAGCATTTTAATACGTGGTCTCGTCTACCAATAGGAGCTGCTTTACCAGAGCCGAAATACTAGAAGTTTACGGGATCCTCAGTCAGCCTCAGATATTAAGTTAATTTCTCTTTGAAAGGTTGCTCTATTTCACCCATTCTTAGTATACTTTGTGTAGTTTATCTCCTTCCTCGTAGATGTCTACCTTACACTTGAAGAAAAATAAGATTAAAGACCTGAGGCCAACACACTTGAAGAGGGGAATATATTTATGTAACGGACAGACTGAAAGGAAGGTACCAAAGATGAATTCGTGTACGCCTTTAACCTGGACGCTGAGCGTGTTGGAGAGACTTACAACCATGCTGCTCAAATCGATCAGCTTTTCTCGAGATGGCACGCGAAGTGCTGCCCCTTTCTCCGATGCAATATGAAGATGGTCTTAGATCTCAAATGGAAAAAGACAATAAAGTGTGAAGTCATGCAGGCTTTTTCAAACAATAAATTTAGGAGACCTCAAAAGAATTCCAACATCTTGTGCAGTGCAGTAGTAGTTTTGCATGTGTGATAATAAGTCAGACGTTGTCATTAACAATAACATTCAAATCTCTCATGTGGAAGTGGTGTAATCGCACATATATTAATAGTGTTATCTTACATGGATAGGTTTCCACATTTGTTGAGTTATATTAACGGATTATATTAACGGAAGGCGGGCCTAGCGCTTCATCAAAGGATGTTCTAAATTATCTACAATGTAAGCCAAATAAATAAAATCCCGATATTTATGCCGATGACGTATGTATATATCATTTGTCAATGTATTTTTTTCTCCAATGTAAAATGATTTAACCCTTGAAATGACCAAGTTTCGCCGTCTCTTCTTGTTACTATGAACTCTATTTGTATATTACTTATTATGAAGTACTCCAATATTTTTAGAACGTCAGATCATACATCAAAGACCATTGGAAGATAATCATATAGCTCTTCACATTCTATTTCCACCCGGGTTCATGCAACCGACCGAACATAAATAGGATGAAATGTAACCACGGCGTAACCGCATCAACACCATGACACATGAAACTTCCTGCCTCTTAACTTACATGAGGTTCTTTTGTAAAGTTCAAGAAAAGTTACAGTCATTTCGTACCTGCCCTCGGCCCTTTAGCACCTCAAAAGTCTCAGCGTTGTTGCTCGCGGTTCATGATTCCGCTTATGATTTTACCAGCTCTCGAGAATGATGAAAGTCCAAGTTCGTAATCTATAAACATGAGGGAGGAATTGATGTTCTGCTTGATCTGCCCCAAATAGATGATCCTATTAAACTGGTGTCTGTTTTGCTCTGGGCTAGCCATAAGGTCTTAAAAAATAGTCAGTTTTGGGTCGTATATCTTTGAAAGATTGATAGAAAATTTTTAAAACTTGAAGAGGTTTTATAATTGTTGATGATATGTCACCGCCTCTACCTTGGAGATGGTTTCATTGATACTGTTCCCTACCAGAGCATATGGAATTTTCCTACTTAATTATGTCGCACAATCCACCTCGATGAGCATCTCGCACTGAAGAACGCCATTTAAGATATACATGCATGTCTAGATCTATTTGTAAATTTAGCAAGATCAAACATCCCAAAGATTTTCTTTCCTCGCTAATGTCTCAACTCACTTGTTTAATCTAGAGCTGGAGAATCCCCTCTCTCTTTGAAATGTATACATGATGTATACATCTGAGGAAAAACAGCAAGAGAAAGAATAAATGTCAAAGTTATGAAATAAATATACACGAAATTAGGAAAACTTGAGTATTTTAAGGAGTGTTAATGAATTTTCCTTCATTTTTTAGTCTCCTCGTATGTTTGTTATCACACCCCAAGTCAAGAAATTGTTATAAATTGAACCAATAACATTGAACATTACTCCCAACCTTCTTTATCATCTTCCTCAAGCCCCTTACGCAAAGAACGGAAACTGATAAAAACTGAAAAGAAACGGAAGTGATACACCAAAATATGATGACCTTGGATGGTTGCAGGGAAGCGAACACTCACTTTATACAATATATATAATAAATACGGTATATTGTTAGGCTCTACGGCCCACGCTGGAGCTGCTCTGACGCGTGCTGTTCCATCTTCAGACAGGCCTGGCACGCGCAGCAGCAGAGTTCCACTGCTGGCTCATTGGAGGGAGAGTAAAGGGGGCGGGCCAAGTGCCGGAGCGATTTTAGCTGTACAGGGAGAAAATGTTGTCAGAATCTGACGTCCGACCTACTCCCTCGACAACGTCGCACGCAGGCCAGATTCAGAACTTCCGACTCTGGGCTCCGGCTTTTTCGCCGGACGGACGGATATTCCGGACGGACATCGAGAGATAGCAGGTCGACGACCCGACGGTCTGTCGACTGACAGACTGCCTGACCGGAGCCGATGTACCCGAACGTTATCGTCGGGAGCGGGTTTGGGTTTAGGCATATTTCCGTGTTTTGTAGGGCATGCTCATATCTTTTCATATGTTGTGTTAAAATATTTGGTGTTTAAAGAGCATACAGATACGTGACATCGATATATTTACATGAATTCCTTTCATCCATTCATGTGCGAGATTCCGCTCAATCGAAACTTTTTACAGCTAGCATATTGACTACGTTCAAAAGCAGTCAGGGGTTTCAGTTCACATGATGGTTTCTTCTCAGCCCTTCTATGATACTTCAGTTATAAACATAAGTGAATTTCAAAATTTTGAAATGAGGATTCCGAACTTCACTTTATTGCATTTTCAGAAGAACGGAATATTACCAATATAAATTTCATGATATTGTAGTAAAGAAGTATGTGTATCTTAAGTTGTCCCATACATATTTATTATAACTAGATTGTACAATGCGCTGGTCTGGATAATATCTTTAAAATAATCCGAATGACTTTACTTTCACATCTTACCCATATTTCAAAAATTTAGAGAACCCTAAGAATATCGTCAACAGGAGAGAGATATATATATTTACCTTAATGTTGTTATGATATGCTTGATTATAATACTTAGCAGCAGTACCTACTACAACGTCAAGATCATTGCCATGCTATAACCGTCCCTCCTTCTTGACGACTGCACGCTATCATATTTTGTCCACGTTCCTCCTATCGAAGCAAATAAGATTCAACCGGCTTGTTTCAACTCTGACGATGATTCACATACACTCGCATTTGCTTTCGCTGAGACAAGAGCTTTGGCTCTTGTATTCCATTTAAGCCAAGCATCCAAAACTTTCCATATATGCAGTTTTATGCACCATACTTACTTGTTTATTCTCGTTTCACTCTATCAATTTGGCACATCGTTAACTGATCGTGAATGACAAGTTTTGCTTTCAAAAAAAGCTGATTCTTGTCCTCGGTCAGTAATAGCAACTGATCGGAACGATTCTGCTCACTTTGGGAGAAGAAGACGTAAACCCTACAACATCATTTGAAAATTCATGTTGACCA